GGCTGACGAAAAAGGAGATAATGAGTGATAATATCATAGGTAAAGGGTATTGATCGAGCAAAGGTCAACTCAAAGGTCAAATTCGGGCCTGTTCGAAGGTAGATGTGTATCAAAAGAGTCGGGAAGTTTTAGCGTACGACTTCTGTGGGAACCAATTTGCGAGAGACTTTACTACCCGGAATGAATTTACGAAGAAAGGTTTTTTTAGAGGCATTTACAAACAGCTGCTCGTCCAGATGATCAGAAAAAGTGACATCACGGAACATTTAAGCGTGTCTTTTAACCGGATGACGGGTTCCCCCGCTTCCTTCCTGCGCGTTTACGTATGTAAATTTCAATAACAATGATTTACAGCGGCAATCATATCGAGAATCGAGTTTAATGAGCTCAAACATCAGAACGAGAAGTCTTAATGAGGTTTCGTTTGAGAAGATCTAATATCACGGGATAATCCTCGTTTCTTCTGTTGCGTATTATTCTAATGCAGTGTTTCTCAACTGGCTTGGACTCGTTGCACAATTAAGAAACAGTCATCCACGGCTGGCGATAGAAATTTATTCGGGTCCTGGATCGAATCATCGAGTTTGAAAATTACGATTTCGATATTTTGTATCTTTACTTTGAAAAATCTGGTCGCCTCGACAAGACTGCTTTACAATTTTGAAAACGAACCGGTGTTCCAACAACACTTAATTAACCAGCACGATGCAATTATTTTGAGCAGAATATACACGGACGGAGAATAGAAACGTACGTCGATACGTGAATCTCCAGTCGTGGCAAGTGACGATCGTCTCACGAAAAGAAGATGTATAAAACGATAACAATATCGGTATTTGATCGAGATGGTTGCCGCTTTGGGAGACACTGTTTTAATGGTTTTCCGTTAAAGTATCCGCGTGGCAACTTTATCGTGTACGCGTCCCTTAAATTTACGACTCGCGCGAAGCATAAACATCCTGCCATTATGCGAGGTTTGTTCGAGTATCTCGCTGTCAGTATTCAGGCATTGTATTCCCTTATCGAAAGGTATCTAATAAACTATCTAATTTCGCACGAACTTGACACTTTTTCTCGCAACGGAATATATTCTCTGCACCATATGTATCTGTTTATTCAATTCTATTCTATTCTACTCCACTCGCGGCCTATGCTAATTTCAAACTCACGGAGCAAAGAGGAGATAAGAGGGTTGCAAATCGGTTCTGCATAAAATATGGAATCGAGAAAATACAGATAGAAAAACACTTATCGCTATTTACTAGAAACGCTGCTATCCCTTCTGACAAAATTAACATTGCTTGAATTAACTAAATAAGCACGTTCGTTCTCTCATTTTATTTCTTTTCGATTCCCGAACGAAGGATTGAATTGAATTGATTTACAATTTATTTCTACATAAATCTTCGAAAGGATGTACGGACTTGACCTTCGCGACGATTTCAATCTAATTTCAGATCAAAGAATCATCGTTGCGACACCCTGCATGAAGAAAGAGACGCCGAAACGCGTTGCGACATCCTCCGCTGTGCCTTAAACCGTTTCTGTTTCGTGAACAAATTGCTCAAGATAACAAGCACTAACGATGCCACGGCGTGTGTGCCTTGTTCTGCACCTTCACAGGATACTCGAAAAGGTCTCGCTGAAATCTGATTGCCTTCCGCGCGTTAAAATTGCAATCGGCCGATCTCCCGCGTCAGGAACACAATACCAAACACAACCGTTGCGAAACGGAATTTCGATAACTGCGAACCGTGACTCGTATCATCCTTTTTACCTTTCAACCCTTTCTTGCTTTCACTTGAACGTGTACGTGTGTGCGTGGTAACCATAGCTCTCCATGCAAAACCGATTTTAGCTGAATTCCAATCGTACGAATGTTGATCCCGGGAAAGCAAAATATCACTGCTGAAAGGAGACCGACCTTTCGATAAAGAAAGGAGAAGGGTGCTCTTCGATATTGGATTCAATATGGAAACATTTGTCAGGCTTATTACATTCGTCGGATCTTCCCCTTCGAATAATAATAAATAAATATTAGCGAAATACCGAGTTACACTGGACCAATCAGGTCGGACTATCCCGAATTGGAAAAGTAATATAATCTTTAGAGTTTTTAAAATCTTTGTCCGTTTTGTCTAGATCCCGGAACCAGCGTAAGCAGGATGCCCGATGCGGTAAGAATCGGTACTCATGCGCAGAACGCTTCCACACCGTATCCAGTGAGTGATATTTCATAGCTAGTACTATCGGCAAATATTGACAAGTATAAAACTTTCTACATCGAATCCCAACGAAACATCGTTATTAAATAGACGAGCCGTTACTTCTCTTTCGTCTTCGAACATTCTAGGATTTTAAGGCTTAAGGATCAGCATTTCGAAAGGCAATACCGGCAGACCGGTGAAGCATTAACGAGCAAACGGTTCGCGCCGACGGAGGATGTATGTGTGTAGAGTAACCGAGGCTAATTTGATCTTTGTAGGATGCGAATAAAATTTACTCAGTGCTCTATAGCCAGCGATACGTGTGTTACCCGGATCGTGGCCGTAAAGCAAGACCTCAGACTCTGTCGAAGTAGATGTTGCTGTACAGGATTCGACCTCGCGCTCGCTCGGTACTCCGGTCTTATGCAAATCGCTCGGGCACAACGTGCTGTGGAATGATGAGCGGCTGGGTAAGGTCACCGAGGAGGAAGGTTAGAGAACAGGATCGGATTCACCCTTTCGATCGAACCTGTCGGGGCAAACGTATTTTTAATAAGATTACAGCAAGAATGCACGTGCAAACGATGGAAACGATACGCGAAGCAACGAACTCCTTGGTGTCTACTCGGACGGTACAAATGACGGTACACTTGTTTACTTTATTTGCTACATAGGTACAGACAAATTTTAGGCTCGCTCGTCGACCAGTTTTGAACATTTCCATTCGTTGATCGTGAATCTGCCCAACTCTGGCCACTCTATTAATTTTCGCACCTAAAGTTGAGCTTGATCTTGCCCAAACTACCGCAAAAGGGTTGGATTTTATTATTATCGGTTTGTTCGTTTAGGATACTATGTCAAGGATGCACACCACTTTCACAAAAGGCGTTCAGTTCTGATGCTGACAACATAACTAAGCGAACGCGTATCGAGCTTTCGTTCGACCGTCTATCAGTGTATTAAAGTGTCCCTCATCGTTGGCTAATGATATTTGATGTTCGAGCGATCCTTTCGTTTCCGCGTCTTGTTTTGTAAGTGAAAAAACGGCCTCGGAATATTGGGGCAAGAATTGGTCCTTGAAAGGAATAATAAAGATGGTCCTTTCGTTTTGCAAGGAACCGATTTACGGGTACGTCAGACTTTAAAGTCTGCGTTTCAACAATAAAAGTTCCTCTGCAATAACAGTCATCCCTTAATGAGCGGATTCGACCATGTGGCAACCGTGTGCTGTTCGTCACTTTGTCACCGCTATATCTTTGTTGTAAGTCGTTTAAAGGACAGCCACGTGCGTGGCCAATGTGAAAGCGGCGCTGAAATTGTGCAGCGACACGGGATGAAAGTTATAGGCCACCCTGTTGTACCCTTATTCGATACCTCTACAGTGATTCCTTTACAGTTTCCCTTTAACCGGAAGAACGCGATTCTCCATGGAAAAATAAATTAAAAAGAGAAAGAAAGAAAGAAAGAGTCTGTTCGAACGCGTTTTTGATTAATTTTTTTACCCATGATTCGAAACGAACGAGTTTGTAACGTTATTAAGTGCTACAGAAATTGCGGGGCACGCCTATCGGCGCAAAAGTTGCGTGCATAAAAAGGGTATAATAAGACAATGGCCATCTTCGGCCGTTCTCCTATTATCGGACTCTCCCCCAATCTAACGATTCATGTGATTCGACATCGGCGATACTTAAAGGTAACTCCTTCCGTGACATTAAAAAGGCACTCCCAGGCTCTTGTTGCATCGGTCCCTTTGCTCGTTGTTTCACACGCTAACGTCGGATGTAGAAACAGTACCGACAACGCCGTTTCATTTGCCCGCACAGCTCTATAAACGAGAACAGATCTTCCTGTCGTCTCTGGCAAACGGACGCCTCGAAATCGAAACGTTTTAATCGCTTCGTAGGCCTAGATTTTTACATCCTGCCAAGAGTTTCCTTTATAATGATCAAGATAGATTTAAGAAGCAAAAGAAATGGTAAAAAAGGGGATTTAATATATTTCCATATCGTTCACAGGAATATTATTGCTATGTTACAGTGTTCTGATAATATTATAAAGCAAATATAACGTCGAAGTATGCATTAACAGCAAATATGCATTTTTATTTCGAACTTTTTAAGAAGAAACCAAAGTAGACAAGATCATTTTCTTCTCAACCGATCCTCCTCAAGTAAATTATCTATATTACAATAAGAAGTAATAATAAATTACAATTACTTATTTTTGCTTCTTATTGAAGCGCCTTACTAGAAGGCAACCCGACGCGCACGCGTGTGGAAATATTGCCCGCGACGACGCGAGTCATGTAGCACGATCGAGATTAAATTCTGACCGACATACAGACTTGAATCGAACACAAGATTAAAGGACAAATGTCCCCTCGTGTTGGTGCGATCTATGTTTCTGTTTAATTAAGCGTAACACGTTCGAATAAACCGAAGTACGAAAACACGTCTGAAGTGATATTCAAATCTCCCTCCATAAATGGAGGAAGGTTCTCTCGACTCAAAGTGGCTACAATTAACGATTAAAGTACCACGAATGATTAAAAACTGTGTGCTTTGATCTGATGATTTGTCCGCTAGAGGCGTTAGCTTACAGTTAGTATTTGTCCGTTTACTTGTTCACGAGAGGGGCCCCTCATGCCGTTTAATCAAACAAATGAAAAATAGTAGAAGGAGGACCACAATCGGAATCGCGTCGCCTGCCCACGCGTGGTAGTCACGTGTCACTGGTTCTTATTGGACGATAAAAATAGAATGGGGGAAGTCCGTAAACTTCTGAGGAGAGAACTGTGACTGAGGAGTTGTGGACTTACGACAGTTGGGACGTTGTTGGTAACATAGTGGCATTCTGCAGTATTATTACGTATTTGACATTATTAGAGAAAGTTGTTGGCAAGGAGAATGTTTAAAAAGAACAAAGGAAATAACGCGTTCTATTTCTTTATGCTCGACTGGAAAAAAGACCAAGAAAAGGCTGGAAGGGTATTTCCAAATGGTCTAAAAGATGTTTCTAGGGACCCTCAATGTAGCGAAGAATGGCAGGTTGGATATCTCTTGAATTTAAATTATTTAATTTTATCACTTAAAATGTTCTCTATGATTTGAATACTACTGAAATAATAGCGTAATGGTATATTCCCTTCGAAGTACTGTTTTTATTTGAATTTGAATCATACTTGTGTCAATTACTAATGACCGCAATTATTTAGAGGACACTTCGGTATTTTGAAAATATGATACTTGATTCTCGTCTAAAAATGAAGGCTACGTTAGTGCATATGTATATAATGTTCATATAATGAATGATAATAATCTTGAATAAAGAAGCACACAGTGATACCGTAAAATAAAAGAATTTTGTAACATCATTCTACAGTTGAGAAATTGATGGAAGCATAGACATGGCAACAGAAAAAGTCTCATCTAATCTTAAACAAATTTTACAATTAATTGCAGAATATATCGTCTCAAGCCAAAGGATACTACAATGCAAAAGCAAAAGACAGCAAAATTCAAAGCCAAGTATCAATGTCTAAGAAAAACACAATTGGACAAAGCATAGATGAGGTCATGCTGGCTGAAAAAAAGGAACAAGAGTTCCAGCAACATATGTTTCAATACATTGATTCTTTAATTTCTATTGGTACTCAGCATAAAAGTAAGTAATGCCTTATATTTATATGTAAAATGAATCCATGTTCACATAGTCAACTAATTAACTAATTATAAGTGCTAATAGCCAGGTTGGGGTTAATGCCTCTGTCTCAATGGTAAAATATTGTATCTGGAACGCACAAATTCTTGTAAAAGAACATACAAATGTAGTTAAATCATTTTAGTTTATCAACATTTTGTTAATTATTGGGCAAATTTAGTCTAGAAATCTTTCACCTACATTTTCATACTGTTTATTTGTTTGGATGATCATTAGTTCCAAGTACATGACAAGCAATATTATTTGTTACAGACTTGGATAAGCTGAAGTTCTTATTTATACACGTGAATTGGTTTTACAAAAGAGACATAGGAATTAACAAGTACGACTTCTGTCCTGCTGAATTTGCAGTGGGGTCATTCAGTCTAAAGAACGGTATTGAAGACATATATCATGAAATCATTAGTGTGCAAATTCCATTAGGATGGAAAAGAGATGCAATGGAAACTAGTGCAGAGACACATAAAATAAATATAAATATGCCAGATGGGCAGAGTGATTTTGCATATATGTATGACAAACTGGTTAGAGTTCTAGAATCCAATATGACTGGAAATAAATTTCCTCCTCTGTTTACTATGAAGGATTTAGCTCCTGCTGTAGAATCATTACTAAATAGAATGACTGAAGCTACTAGTAAGTACAGGCACTAGTAAACCAAAACGTTTATTTTTTAATATGACGATTTACTTATCTTATGATTGAACATAATATGCAGGGACTTATTATACCGGTAAATATTGGTTATATTGTTGTAACCCTTATAGAAACTGAAATACCGAATAATAGTCTGATAATACAAGGCGTTCCAGCGTCCGTGGTACAACCGGGGAGTGGCGATTCTACATGAAAAAAACAAATCGAAAATAAAGAATAAAATTTTGTCATTTGAGGTTTCGTTGATTAATAGATTTCTGTACACTCATGTTGAGATGACCTGAGCATGGATCACAATTTTATTTGTTGTCTTAGTATGTTATTATCTTCGATTTTCTTGACAACGAAACCTCAAATGAACAAATTTTATTCTTTATTTTCGATTTGTTTTTTCATGTAGAATCACCCTCTTCCCGCTTGTATAATTAATGTCTAAAATATTTCTACCGTAAAATTGTATTTTAGACACGAGCATGGATGACTTTGTAATATATTCGCTAGAAGCACTGTTCGGCGCATTGCGAAATGCTGTTGCACAAAACGTGAACGATAGAAGTGTTCCTCTCGTAGTTGCAGAACATGAATTTCGAACAGATTTCTTTCTTTTTACTTATGGCCTTGGATGCCCCGTAAGAACAGAAATATTAATAGCCGTTAAAAAAATAACCGAAAAGCAAAAAAAAAAAATGATACGTAAATTAATTCTTTTTCCCTGCATAGTTTCATAATAATATAGAAGATGCATCACAATATTGCAGTATGTCTTTTATAAAAAGATGGTGCTTCACAATATGCGATCATTGCTGTCAATATTTAAATATACCACTGATTGAGGGTGTTCATTGCCCTAAGAAGAAACCAGACTATAATTCTACTAATTCAACCAGTATCGATTTTCAAATGAAAAACCTATCTATCAACAGTGACGTCGTAGGTGTTTCTATGACCGGAGTAAGTACTTAATATAGCAAACTATAATATGATTCATATAGAAAATTGTTTTATGATTCTTTCCTAAATATCAGACTTGTTATTTATTTTAAGTAGCATGTATAGCGTTTATCACGAATTAAATTTTTATTGTCAACGATTGCAAATACATAGGTAAGCGCGAACTACAGAACAAAAGTATCCGAACGTACTTATAAAGAAGAACAACAACGACGTAATGAATGCAAACCATTACAATTAATTAATCACGGTAAAAATCACAAGTACAATTTGTATGTAATAATACTATGCTCGTAGATTCGATTATGAATTACATGTGTATTCGCTCAATTTTTAGATACTGAGTTACCTCCACGACCATTGCGACTTCCTAACACAACGTGTAAATATGCCGATACAGATTCTAGTGTAGATTTAGACGATTTCCCACCACTTGGTGAGTTATTTACAGATTACAGATATTTTGGGAATTGTATTTCTATTGTGTTCAAAACATACTAATTTATTTATTCATCATACAGGAGGAGCAACGATCGAACAAAAATGTAAGATAAATCATAAACATCTGTTGGGAAAAGGTAATATGTCAATTTTATCGATCGTATAATGCTATTTTACTATTGTATTAGTTATTATTTAAAATGTAATTTTTTTTATGTTAATAAATTTTATATTTTGCGCAGGCCGTGGAAAATGTTAAGGTGTAAAAAGTACATGATATCTACAACAATAATTTTGACGAGATCTATGATTATCAATATTTTATTTTTGTATGTAATTTAATTTTGTTAAGAAATCACGTAAGAAAACATTACTAGTATTGTTATTGTGCGTCATATTATCTAGCTGATAAATACATTAAGAAGATAAATGTCATATAACATTATTACATATCTGTTATCAATAAACTAAATAAAACACAGTTTTATCAATACCCATGATACTTTTAATTTTTATCTCCCAAACATGCCCGAATTTAAAGTCGTTTCAACATTTTTTCCGAGTGATTCCTTCAAACATGCATATGAAATTTGGCACTATGTGTGATGAATATTAAGTAGTGTTACAGATGAAGTATAAACTAGATCTATTTATATCTTTTACGGGAGTTTGTGTTAAACGAATTGAAGAAATATCAATCATGTAAAAAAGAAGTTATGTGATACCCTCTATAATTTTTTTTTAAATTATGTTCAATTCTATCACTAGAGTTTGTAAAGTCAGTAAACGTACAAATTTTTCTGTACATGTATTATATTGATTGCATTGTTGAAATTATTAGTGATTTATTGATTCGACGATAATAGAATATGAGCATAAGATATCTAGTGAGGAGGATCAATAAAGTCTTATTGTATGAAGGATCCATTAATCTATGGATACTAAAGTAGCACTTTTGTGGCAAAGTGCTATGAAGTTTGATTAAAAATCATTCTTATTCAACGAATCGTGTAATGATAGGCGTTGGACTTATATGTATTCTATCCATTTATTAATGAAAGGAAGACAATTGTCAGTTGTAATGGAAGAAGGATGCAACGACCAAAGTTGTATTTAGAAGAATGCTGTGAGCAATTGAGGCTGGAAGGTTGGTTTGGTACATTTTTTATGACCAATGTATCATTAGGAGGAATACAATGATGAGATCTTTCAACATAATTTTATAAAAATATAACTAGACAGACTTCTCACAGTTTATCAACTGTACATAAATGTACACCATTAGAGAACTTTCATACCATCGGTTGATCATGAAACAAACTAGCAGAAGGTCATTCCAGAATTGAATCTATCTTGAAATACATTTTCGAAAGAGACACGTATTTGAACAAGCTTGTTTCTCACAAAACTGTTCAAATTCGTGAGAAACTGAAATGGTTTGCATTTATTTGAAGCAAATGAAATCTCTTCGACGATACTTTATATCAGGCGTACGGGTACGGGGTAAATTAATCAGCCAAATAACGTTTTAAAAAGTCGTTTTCCACTCTACTGTTACAACTGTGTGTGATCCAATGTAACATTTACTATTTCGTTTTGTCTGGTATATTCTTCGTCGTAAATAGGATCATATTTCTCCTGGGATAAAAGACAATCAGTAGCGTTCGTAATTGTGTTACGTTCGTGATTGCTTGTAACGTTATTCTATAACAATGTCACATCGCCTATAACGGCATGCAGTCGGCGTCTTATAAAAGGTGAGCCGTCTTGCTAAAACAGCAGATCAGTACCATCCTTCCTTTGGAGAAGACATCTCACCGTTTCAGGTACCATCAGTCTTACCAAGTTATTAAAAAAAGATTCATTATTCTGTACATAGAGAAACTCTGTACTGCCTCTCTCGAGTACTTCACACTTGCCTCAATTGAAAAAAAGATTGCGATTTTTTTCTCAAGTGTCTAATTTTTCAACTTTGCGAAGAATGCCTCGTATTATTTTTCCGGTATTCGTGTTCTTAATGGTTGCTGTAAGACGAATTTGAATATTTCGAGGGATCGATACTCCTTTAGTCGAGTTCCTTGATGAGTGCTCTTGCAAATAATGTAGGTCGTCTGGACGTGATGGCGACATTTGTCATAAGCTCTTTCCTCGAGTATAAAAGCTCGAAGCTTTTGCCTTATTTGCAACATTCCTTCGCTAACTGTCGTACAAGTCTCAGCGTCTCTTAACTTTGTAAGTAAACTGTAAGTTTCTATAGAAGAAAATGTTTTTCATATCGAGGCTCAGGCATAAAGATTCCAATTTATATCGAATTATTCTGATTCGCTGGAAAACTATTCTTTCGTTTTAAATAGCCAACAAAACAGAACCATCGAGATGATGTCGACACGATTCGTCCTTGCTATCGTCGCTGCCCTCTTCGTCCTCGCGGTTGCCGTGGACGCAGCCTACAAGAAGCCGCCATTTAATGGCAGCATCTTTGGCAAACGGTCCAGCATCAGCATTGGTAAGTTTGAAATTTATGCAACCACTCACCTTTACTGATTCAAAATAAACTTTTTTTTTACTTTATAGATATATTAAATTGAAAAAATTATTTGAAGAAAGCCTTGGTAAACTGAATGCTCTCAAAATTCACACGTTAATAAACAAGTGATTAAATATTGCAAATAATGTGACATCAAACAAAAAATTACAGAAGCTATTCGAATTTTTTTAAGACACCTGTGGATTCTAAAGCGCCCCCACTTTTTTTTTTTACTTTATACATATATATTAAATTGAAAAAATTATTTGGAGAAAGCCTTGGTAAACTGAATGCTCTCAAAATTCACACGTTAATAAATAAGTGATATCTAAATATTGCAAATACTGTGATATCAAATGAAAAATTATAAAAGTTATCCGAATTTTTTTAAGACACCTGTGGATTCTAAAGCGCTCCCACTTTAAAATAAAATCAATTTAACGCTTATAATACGTTATTGATATATACTTTGAGAGCATCATTACTTGGTTTTAAAATATTTTCAAGGCAATATTGCAAATGTAACTACTACTTTGCGACATTCTAGGAAGATTTCTGTAATGTTCCTTGCTGAAAGCCCCTATTTTATGGCTCTTCTTATAATTTTTCCGTCCTCATTGACTAACAATCGATTGTTTTCAATGTTTTGTAGATTATGACATCACCGGCCGTGCTATGTCGTCCATCTGCGAGACTGTTACCGAAACATGCAACGCCTGGTTGTCCCGCCAAGAGTTCAACTGAAGATATTAAAACCAACCATAATCCGGCTCGATGCGTCGAATGCTGTTCACGTTGCTTAGCCGCCTTAATCAACATCTAATAACGCACTCAACATGTCTACGCAAATTGCTCATTTACCGATATTTTCGGCGCGTTGAAGTTTGTCGCATCGTTCACATCACTCGTCCTTACATAATCATGTAACTAAAGCTTCGATTAATCTAAACGATTCTGTAACACCTTTCGTATAATAAAACATAATATTGTATTAAAATTAATCGAAATTCGCTTCTTTGTTCCAATACGATCGAATCCTTTAAAATCCGCCATTTAAGGCAGTGTTTAAATTTAATTTAAAGTTTACTTTGAACTAACTTGAGAGACAAAAATTGTGGCGATCTAAAGTGCCATATATGGGTATAATTTTCACAGAGAAATGATCATTTTTCTAGCAATTTTTCGTTTTTCGTATTTGGTCGAGTCATAAGTGACTTCCGTTTTTTTTATCAGACATTTATTTTGCTCTCATTAAATAATTCTCCCATCTGTCTGGCAGTTTATCAATTCCTTCCTTGTAAAATGTGGTTGGTTTGGCCTGCCTGACTTGCTGTTCAGAATTGAAGGTTCTTCCATTGAAAAAGTTTTGTAAGAAACAAAAAAGGTGGTAGTCTGTCGGGGCAAGACCCAGGGAGCAAGGTGGATGTGGTAAAACAGACCATCCAAGCTCAAGAATTTTTTCTTGAGTCACCCTTGCTCTATGTAGTCGCCATTTTCGCCATTGACGAGTGCAGGACGCTTTTCATGGAATTTCTCTTGCACTCTTTGCAACTGCTGAACGTATCTATCCGCAGTAATCGTTAAATTTGACTTCAACAACTCGTGGTGAATTATTCCTTGACAATCCCACCGTACACACGATAAAATCTTTTTGTCATGGATGTTTGCTTTCTGATCTGGTAGGGGTGGTTGATTCTTATCGAGTCACTGTCTTTTGTGGACTATATTGTCATAGGTAACCCATTTCTCATCGCTTGTTACAATCCTGTTTAGAAAAGGCTCAATTTTAACCCGTGAGAGCCAAATTGTGGCGATTTACTTGCGATCTTCTTCATTCCGTTCACTGAGACTGTGAGGTACCCATATTCCTAACTTGCTGACTTTCCCTAATTTCTTCAGGTTTAACAGTTGATTGTGATGTATTCAACCTTTCTATTATATCTCTTGTTGATTCACATGGATTTTGCTCCAATATTAAAAGATTTTCGTCAAAGTTGGAAGGTCCCGCCCTCGGTTCCTCTTTCAAGATCGTATCTCCAAAACGGAATTTTATAAACCAATTTCTAACTGCCCCGATCAGTTCTTAGTCCTTCATCATATACACTGCATATTTTGTTCAGCTGTCGCCTTAGCACTATTGTTTAAATTCCCAAAGCATTACATGACGAATATGTACTGTTTGACTCTCCATTCCAGAGGTAAGAAAAAAACAGTTTAACGTAACGTGTATCACACAAAACAGTTGACAAAAGACTGAAACCTCGTCTGTGCATCGGAAGTTACTTATTACTCGACCTGATATAAGGCAAAGACGAGAACAGACCGTTGGAATCATTGCGCGAGCATTTTCAAGAGATCGTCCGTTTTAAGATAATTCTCGTGGCAGGCAAAAGTTTAACGAAACTCCTTTCGATATGTGATATGCTGATCGAACGGTTTGATATGGGAAGCACGTTTCATTCACCTACCCGGATAAGGGTTATAATGTCTCCTCGGCGTAGTCTAAAAAGCGTTTCGTAATAAATCAATGGTAAAACTGTTGACGCGTCGATCAGTGTTTCGCAAAATGCGAATTTGTATATAAATATAGATTTCTCTATATATTTTGTACCGTACTCTGGCAATTTGTTCAAAACTACTTTAGAAAAGAACGATTAATTGGCGATACCTATGTCAACGAGCGCATCTCGATCATTGTCGAAACATAATGACAATAATTCTTCAGCGCGAATCGTTCACAAAGAAATTTATTCGACAACATAGGGGGTATCGACAAACTCCCTCGACCTGATCGAAATACTTAATTGATCGTTGAATTTGATATAAATGGAGAGACGAGCGACGATTTTGTTACAGTGTATCGTGACCAAAGCGAGGTGAGTATCGCAATATATTGGAAAATTGCAGATTTCATGAGAACGCGTTTCAATTTTCTTGCTCGTGGCGTTTTCAGGCTTCCCCGTTACACAGAGGAAGGTTGAAATAATTCACTTTCGATATTCCCTTGTAATGTATCTAACAAACAAGACGATAGTTTTCTTCGAACGAATTTTAATAGAAATTCATTCCAATCTGAAAAGTCTAACAATTTCATTGAATATTTCCATTCATTATTGATTGGTAGAATATGTACCAGCGAATAATTTCTTTTAACTATTTCCTTCGTTATTTTCTTCAACTGTACTACTTTTAAATGAGTAGGATATTAAAAACTGATTAGGAATTACTTAAATCCTGAGAATGCACGATGCATGTATCCAATTTATTCGGTTTTGGTATTGTTGGCAATTTAACATGAGAATAAATGTGAAGTTCATGCTATAATTCTCGAAAAAGGAAGTCTAAGGTAAAATATAAATTTGTCCAACACTACCCCCCAGTAACGGATACAAAAAATCGAATCTCGTCTCTCAAAAATCTTGATCCGTTTATTGCATGTATCGAATTTATTTGGTTTTGGTATTGTTGGCAATTTAACATTAGAATAAATGTAAAGTTCATGCTACAATTCTCGAAAAAGGAAGTCTAAGGTAAAATATAAATTTGGCCAACACTACCCCCCAGTAACGGACACAAAAAATCGAATCTCGTCTCTCAAAAATGTTGAGTCGTTTATTGCATGTATCGAGTTTATTCGGTTTTGGTATTGTTGGCAATTTAACATGAGAATAAATGTGAAGTTCATGCTATAATTCTCGAAAAAGGAAGTCTAAGGTGAAATATAAATTTGTCCAACACTACCCCCCGGTAACGGATACAAAAAATCGAATCTCGTCTCTCGAAAATCTTGAGTCGTTTATTGCATGTATCGAGTTTATTCGGTTTTGGTATTGTTGGCAATTTAACATGAGAATAAATGTAAAGTTCATGCTACAATTCTCGAAAAAGGAAGTCTAAGGTAAAATATAAATTTTGTCCAACACTACCCCCCGGTAACGGATACAAAAAATCGAATCTCGTCTCTCAAAAATGTTGAGTCGTTTATTGCATGTATCGAGTTTATCCGGTTTTGGTATTGTTGGCAATTTAACATAAGAATAAATGTAAAGTTCATGCTACAATTCTCGAAAAAGGAAGTCTAAGGTAAAATATAAATTTGGCCAACACTACCCCCCAGTAACGGACACAAAAAATCGAATCTCGTCTCTCAAAAATGTTGAGTCGTTTATTGCATGTATCGAGTTTATCCGGTTTTGGTATTGTTGGCAATTTAACATTAGAATAAATGTAAAGTTCATGCTATAATTCTCGAAAAAGGAAGTCTAAGGTAAAATATAAATTTTGTCCAACACTACCCCCCAGTAACGGATACAAAAAATCGAATCTCGTCTCTCAAAAATGTTGAGTCGTTTATTGCATGTATCGAGTTTATCCGGTTTTGGTATTGTTGGCAATTTAACATAAGAATAAATGTAAAGTTCATGCTACAATTCTCGAAAAAGGAAGTCTAAGGTGAAATATAAATTTTGTCCAACACTACCCCCCGGTAACGGATACAAAAAATCGAATCTCGTCTCTCAAAAATGTTGAGTCGTTTATTGCATGTATCGAGTTTATTCGGTTTTGGTGTTGTTGGCAATTTAACATAAGAATAAATGTAAAGTTCATGCTACAATTCTCGAAAAAGGAAGTCTAAGGTGAAATATAAATTTTGTCCAACACTACCCCCCGGTAACGGATACAAAAAATCGAATCTCGTCTCTCAAAAATGTTGAGTCGTTTATTGCATGTATCGAGTTTATTCGGTTTTGGTATTGTTGGCAATTTAACATGAGAATAAATGTGAAGTTCATGCTATAATTCTCGAAAAAGGAAGTCTAAGGTGAAATATAAATTTGTCCAACACTACCCCCCGGTAACGGATACAAAAAATCGAATCTCGTCTCTCGAAAATCTTGAGTCGTTTATTGCATGTATCGAGTTTATTCGGTTTTGGTATTGTTGGCAATTTAACATGAGAATAAATGTAAAGTTCATGCTACAATTCTCGAAAAAGGAAGTCTAAGGTGAAATATAAATTTTGTCCAACACTACCCCCCGGTAACGGATACAAAAAATCGAATCTCGTCTCTCGAAAATCTTGAGTCGTTTATTGCATGTATCGAGTTTATTCGGTTTTGGTATTGTTGGCAATTTAACATGAGAATAAATGTAAAGTTCATGCTACAATTCTCGAAAAAGGAAGTCTAAGGTAAAATATAAATTTGGCCAACACTACCCCCCAGTAACGGACACAAAGAATCGAATCTCGTCTCTCAAAAATGTTGAGTCGTTTATTGCATGTATCGAGTTTATTCGGTTTTGGTATTGTTGGCAATTTAACATGAGAATAAATGTGAAGTTCATGCTATAATTCTCGAAAAAGGAAGTCTAAGGTAAAATATAAATTTGGCCAACACTACCCCCCAGTAACGGACACAAAAAATCGAATCTCGTCTCTCAAAAATGTTGAGTCGTTTATTGCATGTATCGAGTTTATCCGGTTTTGGTATTGTTGGCAATTTAACATTAGAATAAATGTAAAGTTCATGCTACAATTCTCGAAAAAGGAAGTCTAAGGTGAAATATAAATTTTGTCCAACACTACCCCCCGGTAACGGATACAAAAAATCGAATCTCGTCTCTCGAAAATTTTGAGCCGTTTATCCTTTATCCGCGTTTAAATGGGAAAAAGACGGACGGGGGAAAGATTTTCACGCGTGATCGCGGTGACGTGAACATCAAATCACGAACAATCCCGGAATATTTAAATGCGATGGGACTTCGACGTGCAAACTCCTTCCGTTCCTTCGCCCACCGGTCTTCGAGCCTTCCGTCAACACTTCGCGGTAATGGAAGAAGTCCTAGGAAAAATCGTTCAGTTTTCCACGCAGAGTCGTTGGGGACGCGTGTCGCGTTCACCTGTCCGAGCAGATACGAAATTCTTGCAACCGACAGATCGCCTCGCGAAGGAATGATCGTCCAACGGGTTCGTTTAACCGCGCGATAAATCCCGTGGCTATTGTTTTAATCCCGTACGCGATCGCTTTTCTGCGCTTCTGATGCATTTGCTGAGGAACTGAACGACTGCTGGTTCATTCGTTTGCAGATACAACGGGACAACATGAAGCTATCATCGCAACTTTCCGGATCCACGCAAAGCTTTTTCGTCGGGGGTGAGTCTATTTTTTCTTAAATTTTTTGTCGTTTCATGCGACGACGTTTGCGTTGCTTCGAGGATTCAATTGACACTCAGTATCACGACAGAAAGTATTATACCTATTAATTATTCTTGAAATTCTTTATGTAAATGAAAAATTGTTTCTTTTCTCATTTAATTTAATCTTTCTCTGATACAAATTTTATTCAGAAATATATTTTGGGTTCGTACGTGCAGAATGGCCCTAATAAACAGTTACAAGCTATTCTTTTTATTAAACAACCATAAGATATCGATGTCTCTCTCGTTCTTTTTAAATGGAATGGCAATAACGTATTAATTACCTTAAGTTCAATGATCTATTAATAGTTTTCTGGAAATTTAGGGGAGGCAATAGAAGATATTTAAATAAATGTATATTGCGAATCGTTTCGAATATTCAATATGATATCTCTAACTTCTAAATATTCGTTTTCATGAATGTTACGTTAAATATGTAATAAAATAATTAGTGTGATTAATAAATAAGTTATTTATTTATTAACTAAATGCCTCTCTGACACATTTCAGTGCTTCTCACCGGGGCGTTTGTTTTGCTGATTTCCCAAAATGCTGCGAAAGCTGACGAAGCGCCAGCTTTCTTTTTGAAGATAGCAAAGAGTATACCGCGCGTAGGTCGAAGCGGCGGTTACGAGGATCTCGTTTTTAAATCTCGAAATAATGGTCCCAAGGTTGGAGGTCGTAACAGCGGAACACAGGTACTGGGTTAGGTACTCGTTAGTGAAACGAAATCTCAACCCCTGTGACGTTACCTAATATTAATATAAATTTTGTCCCTTTCTCAAGAGCGAACTCTGGCCATCCTACTCCAACGAGGAACCTTTCGCGGGACCCATAAAGAGACGAATGGAATATCCAGTGGCTGATGGTGAAGAATTCTAAACTATACCTCCTATACGTTCGTTTACAAATCACGATGTAGCATAAAGATTCTCGATTATTTTTGCTCGTAACTTAAAAGTTAGAAAATAAGAGCGAACAATTTTGTTCGCTGTAAATACAGTTGCTGATTGCATAGTCGTTTAAATGGAATTATAATATTCTGGTGTCTGTAACAGAAGCATGGTCCTGGCAAAATTTTCCACTCGCGATAGAGGGACCCCGAGAACTATGGCGAACATTGGCTGGATACTCGAAAGACACATCGGACGAGTAAGTTGCCGAAACACAGAAAAATAGAAAGCAAAACCGTGAAATAGTTTAACAAATTCAAAACACATTCGAGTTTCAAGCCACGTTTGATCTAATTTACTTTTCCTTTCAGTATCGATAACGAAATATGGAAGCGGAAGAAGAGAACGGGTGACGAGGCCGTAGGTTCGCAAGAGAATTAGTGTAAGCAGACGGCGATGCAGTTATGGTGTTCGCCGAGAAATATATTTAAAACTTATTGTCGGTGTAAGGTGTTGGGAAAATTATTGAAAACAATAAACATGTAAATACGAGACACGCTGTTATTCCGAATCTAAAAACTAAATGTGGCGCGTGTTGCGATTTGAAAAATTTGGAGGTAATTTTAGCGTCCTCGTCAATTGAAAAACTATTCACTGAATTAGTATTGATAGGCAAACAGCTGTAGATTCATTTCTGAATCTGTCAGTAACGTTGCGAATGGCACGAAAATGGTAATGGGGTTTCGAGACCCCATAAAAATAGGCCGCAAAAATGCATTGGATGAAGGATCTACTTCTATAACACGTCTGTGACAATACTCTAGAATCTTTGATGAATCAATGAGAATCAAAACTAACCTAGTGAAGAAGCTCTATATTTATGATGACCTATGCAAGGCGGATCGCAGCCAATTTGCTAATATTATTTAGTTTTTAATTAATAATTGCATTACAAGCTAAGAGTGATACGATTATTAATTAAACGCTAAATAATATTACCCAGGTCTCACCACGTGGAGGTTGCTGCGAATGGAGACCCGCCCTAACCGATTCCCAACCACCCTCCATTAGTAAAAATCTTTTATGACCAGCGATCGTTGGTCGAAGAAACAATAAATGAAAGTGCAACCAACGAAGGAAACAACCAATGAAAGAGTTTTTTGAGAAAGAATTTGTCTCTAAATTCTCATCAACAAAACAGAGAAATGGACCAAAATATTGCCTGCCTGATATAATGATTAATATAGAGAATCAAATTCCTACCTAACTATAAATCTAAATTCGTTTACATCCTACCTATCTAATCATCTAACAAAATACATAGAAAATATATTCTTCCTTGTTGATCCTTCGACGAAGATTTCCTGAAACATACTGTTACACACTACCTAACTATAAATCTAAATTATTAAAACATAAACTAAGCAATCTGAAACAAAATACATGAAATACATTCTTCTTTCTTCTATCTTCTATTTATCCCACGATGATTTCCTGAAACACAAACAAAGCAATATCAAACAAAATTGTAACAATTCTTAATTGTTACTTCTATAAACCTAAAACTTCCATAGGAATATGCTCTGTAACAGAAACGTGTTTAATAGATTAGTAAGAGAACAAACAAAACAAAACAAGTAAAACTACAAATACTACAACTACAGGCAAGTGCAGTGAGAAAGTAAAAATAGTACATAATATACGAGGTTACTTTGACTCTAAAATGTATTCGTCGCGAAACATCTTCTTGCACGTAAATCTAATGATATATTTTAATAAGTAAAGAAAGACTTTGGGTATCTTCGATATCGAAGATAGCCAAAGTCGTCAACTCAATTATGAAGGTGAATTTAATTATTGAAGAATGTAAGGAACAATCGGAAGCTACTAATTTGACACTCATTCTAAAATTAATATAATTATAAGTATTATAAAAGATATTAAAATCATGACTCTACTTTCGATCGATATTACGATATTTGTCATATTAAAAATTGCGGCGTGTAAAAACATCGCACGCTTAAATAAAACGCGACGCGACACGTGCTCATAGCGTGCAGTGAGTGTGGGTATCAGATTGATCCCCCCCGGCCTTGATTATCAGAAAAGCAAGTCGCGCCCCTGACCCACGTCTATCGGACCTCTCTACGTACAACCGCCGGGCCCTGGAGGACACACGGTCACAACAGGACCCGCTTAGTACTCGAGAACGGATATGGGTCAAGAACTCTCACCGGAGGTCATTCTCTTTTCCGTATAAAGAGGAGAATATATGCGCTCGGTGAGGCCCCACTTAAGCTGAACCAAGCTGCACCGGGGTTGAAGCGGTAAGAGCTATCACACCTACTACACAGGTGTCACATGTTTCATTCTATCAAACAGAGGTGATCGAGCAAAACTCTCCGGTCCTTTCGGTCGAGACATAATCTCGGAAAGCGAGAACCAGAGAACGAGCGGACGAGAGAAAGTGAACTATTCGTATATGTATATGTACTCATTATATATTCATTTTAAAATCAGTGTCAAATTAAAAATGAATCTACTATGACATTTGTCATCTTAAAAATCGCGGTGTGCAAGAAGATTATAATTTTAAGCAAAAGGTACTAACTACACTTGCCAAAGAAAGCACGTATACAACCAGTTGTTTTACCCCTTTGCCTTACGATTTAATTCCCAACTGTTCGTGCCAAAGGTGTCACGAAGGTTTGGTCCGGTAGACTTATCACTTCTCTGAGACGTCTTGTTCATGTTAGGCCCGGTAGACTCATCACGTCTCTGAAACATCATTATGCTAAGGGGTTAAAAAGGAGGTTTTTAAATACTTAAAAATGACCTATCAACCTATCACCTAGCTTAAAAATAAAAATTCATGATATTGTATAGAAACAAATATAATATATGATCGAAAACAATGTTACATTAATATATCCTGCAATATTATACATATCGAAGCAATCACATAAATTCGAAGAACAATGTAAAAGTGGAAACCGAGAAAAGGAACATTCATAGTAACCAAATAAAATCAGATAGATAAATGAAGTTGAATTCACATCAAACAAACAAATAAAAATAATAAAATATAAATAAGTGGAGTGGACTTACTACTTGTTGTCAGTATATAGGGTAGTTACCACTGGGCCAGCTGTAAAGTAAGAAAATATTCATATTATAGCAACGTCAGTTAGGCAACCAAAGGCAAAATCAGTTCAGTGAAGCGAAATTGGTATCAAACGATAGAATAGAAGAGGGGAGAGAATTTTTAAACAGTTCTTACCGTAGTCATCACCGTCCGGCACTGGTCAGTAGTGGTCAGCAGTGGTCAGTAGTGGTCAGTAGTGGCAGGAACGCGAGTCAGCACTGGTCAGTAGTGGTCAGTATTGGTCAGCACTGGTCAGCCATGGTCAGCGCTGGCCAGTAGTGGTCAGCAGCGGCCATCAGCGGTCATCAGCGGTCCCCGGTTCACTTCTGGCTATTTGCCCACTCCCGAATCCGCGACGAGACTGAAGAATTCTTCGCAGAGACTCTGCTTATATGATTAAGGTGATGAAAGGGTGGGGAGGCCAGTCAGAGCCAAAGCTGAAGTTAACAGTTAAGACTGTCTTGTCTAGAAAGAAACTATTTCGATTGGTCCCACCTCTTGACCATTTCTGGATCTTCACTGGACCGCTGACCTTGATGTCAACCTCACTGTTGACCACCAGTAACCATAAGCTAGTCATTGTTGATCATCGACCCATTAAAACCAATACGAAGATTAAAGCCTTCTTACGATCCCCTTACAATTTGATGCATGATCTTTTTAACATTTTGTTCCACTTTGGAAGAGTGTATCTCGTTAATTTTTATCTTTTTGTACGTCAGTTCGAACAATTGCCATACCGAGCGCAAAATTCGGAGGTAATTTTAGCGTCCTCGTTAGTTGAAAAACTATTCACTGAATTAGTATTGATGGACAGACAGTTGTAACGTGTACGTAAATACATGCGAGTTGACTATGGGGAAGGGATTGAAATTCATTTCTAAATCTGTTGGTAATGTTGCGAATGACACGAAAATGGTAATGGGGTTTCGAGACCCCATAAAAATGGGCCGAAAAAATACATTGAATGAACGGTCTACTCGTATACCTCGTCTGTGCTTTCGCGGCCTAATCTGACTGCCATACCGACCTGAAAATTCGAAGGTGATTTTAGCGTCCTCTTCTCATGGATGGCGGTCAGTTGAGAAACTATTCACTGAATTAGTATTGATGGGCAGGCAATTGTATTGTGTGCATAAATACATATGAATTGACTATGCAGGGATTGAAATTCATTTCTAAATCTGTTGGTAACGTTGCGAATGACACGAAAATGATAATGGGGTTTCGAGACCCCATAAAAATGGGCCGAAAAAATACATTGAATGAACGGTCTACTCGTATACCTCGTCTGTGATAAAACCACAGTGCTAACAAAACGGCTAAAATTATAACCGTATTAAATTATATTTATTCGAAGCCACTGTGCTTCAAAATGTAACAAATTATTCTACGAAACAAGCTCTGATTCTATCGACCGCATTGCCCGCGGCCATTAAAATTACCGAAAGAATAACTGATAGAACAAAAAACATTAAATGAGCACACCTGTGTTTTCCCGCTTTTCTTTCTTGTTGATTTTTCGAAGTGTCATGGCGTCGATCGCGCGCCGACAGCACGTTTCTTGCGCACGAACCATATTCAAATACTGTAGCGGAAATAAAATACAAATTTAAATCGAATTCATTAATGTAAGTATACCTACATGTATATTATAAACAACTGGACTCGAAGTATATTGCATGAAATTGTAAATTCGTTGAAAGAGATATAATATCTTTTGTCACGATATCGAATAAATTTATAATACAAATGTATAAATATTATACGAACCAATAGAGAGTAACGGCGAGTAGTAATAGAAACTAGATGTCAATAGATAGAGTCTATTAACCTTATTAGATGTGAAACTGCCAACACGTCTTATCCAGTCAATTTCCACGGGACGAATGACGACCCTGTTGCATTACCTATTACAAGTGGGGAGTGGGGGGAACGTCTCGAATCTTGATGTTTATTTCCAAAGGAAAGGTAGGAACTACGACTGTAAAAGAAATACATAAAGATTCTAAACCAACATATAATTCCCTAATGATTTATTATTACTACGCTTTTTTTGAAGAGTATCTCTTAAAACAAGGGACAAATAATATTACGAGTTAAAAAGGTCAGCGGTGAATTTCAACACAATTAACGATTCTATTATTAGTTTCTGAATTCAAATAAAGCGTAATATTTTTTATTTTCTTAATGCATAAATCCAGTTGAAACTCTATACATATCACTTTGTACTTAATTACGTTGTTTTTAAAATAATCATATATTTCACAATTGACTGCAATACACCGACATATTAATATTACTTTATAACGCATTCGTAATAACGTCTTTATTACTGTAAATTATCTACAATTATTTCCTTTTTTTACCATGATGTTTATAACGTTTTGCGCTACATTAGGTACATCACGAATACAAATTTTCAATTTTTTTATAAATATACCACTTGGTTGTTTGAATTTTGCAATGAAAGCATGAATCTACCAACAAACTAAATATGTTAATGATGATCTTTAACGCTCGGACAGCGGTGCCTGGGTCTGTTTAAACTCACTTTAGACGCGAAAAATAATAAAACAAGTAGTCGCAATAAACCGAAAAAGAGAACCGTGTTTCTTATCTATTAGAAATAATAATAAGTATAGAGTAAAATTTATTTATATTTACAAATTGTATATCTATATACAGTACACATATGAAAACACAAACGTTATGTGCGTGTTGTGTCAAATCGGATTAAATATTGTTTATCTGCATTTATTTTATTTTCGTTTCCTATCGAGGATTGCTATTATTTATATTATGAATTGCGTTAATAAAAAGACACGAAAAAGCATATGAATGTACACAGATTGAAGTTTGGACAGACTCAGGCCCGCCGTTTGCGTGATTCCCCGAGTCTACGCTGTCTGAACGTTAATATAATGTAAAACCATTTAGAATTGAGCAATGTGTTTTAATTACACAACAAATACTAATTCCTATATAAGTTACTACTCTGAAGAGTACAATGAAAGTCTATAATTTGACAACGTCTACAAATATATGAAAGTAATATTAAATTTCAATTTTTATACAATTATTTTCTTTATTATCAACTAAATATTTTAACAAATGCCCATTTAAGGAGACAATTCAATTCATTGCTCTGTTGCAACCATTCGCATCGCGTGTTTTTTCATTCTAAAAAGTATTCTCTATTTTCATGCCTTATCAATAAATATCTTCCAACAAACAAATTTTATAGAAGTTATTTAAGCATAATCGAATTCAATACTTGTACAATTTTTAATACGAATAAGTTCTAAATGTATTGTCTATGTATGTATTATGCCATTTCCTTTGGCTTTGTAAAATATCAGAAAAATAGTAATCAAAAAAAAATATTTTAATTTGCTATAGGCTATTATTATATGCCTTTACGAAGCAAATAATTGTTTAGAAAGTATATTTATTTCTTTACGATTAGAAAGAATTCCAGTGCTTTTTGTCTCAAATTCTAAAATTATTCGAACACGTAAGTACATAATCAAGACTGTTGACTATCTATAATTTTTAAAATACACATTATACAAAACACAGATACCAAAATTTTCTTGAAAAAAAAAAAAAAATGACAACAGATTGGAGATTCTCACTTAATTGTTTATATTTACACAATAAAAATGTTGATTAACATAATCATGGGAGAAATAATTTCTCCGTTCAACGAATTAATCAGAATTTGCTGCAAATATGGAAATAAAATTTTCTTACAGTACGCTAATAAATAAAGTATTGTAATATATAAATGTTATTATTATAATAGCTATACACTTTAAAAATGGAACCTCGCATACTTGACAAATTTCAATACTTTTGTACGCCTATCATTTAAACTTGATTATTATAAATAAACATTATTACTTTCTGGAATTAATTCAGTAATTAAAATATAGTTCATGCGACGTATTACAATCGCGGAAACGATAAATATAAGATAATCAGACAACTAGATAGTAGATATAATGAAATACAGAAAATGTAATATCAGTATAATATAATGAACGACCCAGTACTTTTGTTTTACTTCAGGGATACATTGAAGGTACCAAAATAAAGGCTATACGTTACTGATTGCACAAGCCATTCTGTAATCGTATATCAAAAAAATGTTTACGCAACATACTACATTCATTTACTTTCACTACAAAGGTATGTTTTTTAAGTAAAAACTATTATTCCATTAAAATTATACATTCTTGCTGAGGTTAGAATCTTCATGATTGATGTTTTACTCTTAGAACTTTTACTAGTCTGCCTGATAAATCATAGAAGAAATGTAAACACGATATCTTTGTATTCCCCGCAATATAGAAAATACAGTTTCATTCTGTTTACTCTTACAAAACTTTTATTATTTTTATAGCAAAATTGTGGACATAGGTGCAGGGTACGCAGCTGGTGCGGGTAAAGTGATCGGTAAACTCGGAAAGATAGGGGTAATGTCACTTTGCATCATGGATGATTTTAGATCAGTTGTCCATAGCGTATCTTCGAGTCCATTCTTTGGCATTACGTATTGCTTCGCTTTCATTTACTTTCCACAGTCTAGCTACATCGTTTGACAAAGGATCGTCTGGATTCGGTGCGCTTAAAAGTGCTTGTATAGACAGTAAAACTGTTCTGATTTGAAGAGCAGGACTCCATTTATCTTTCAGAATGTCCAAGCAAATCCTTCCCAATCTATATAAGAAAATACAAATATTTATAACACACGAAAGTTTCGTTATAATGTCTATTGCAAAATGTTGTGACACGTTTACTTAAATTATAATTTTATGTATTACTTCATTTTATTTAAGTAATAACACAGTAAAACCAATAAAAAGTATAAAACAAATAATTTATATTGAAAAAAGGACTCGAGAATCTATGAAAACAAATAAACATATCTGGATAAATACCTGTCTATATTTGGATGATATATTTTTGTAATGAATCTAACTTTAGGAGCAGACATTGGGTAGTCTTCTGGTAGGAACAACTCAAGTTTAAACACTCCACCTTCGAACGGTGAATCTTCAGGTCCGGTTACAATTACATGAAAATACCTAGCATTTGTATCATCTGGCACAGCACTAATACCAGGGACTGGTTCTTGCATTAGTCTCTGTGTTTCTTTAACAATCCTTCGCGGTAACGCAGCCATGTTTGATGAAACTCCCCTAAAAACAAGTTCCTACACTTCCACTAATTTACTTTTTAAATAATGAGAGTAAAGTAAAATAAGATTGTCTATAATTTATCGTATTAAAAAACAAATTATGTTTATTTTAAACAGGTAGCTTTGTTAGAAATTTATGTAAGTAATGAGTATCGAATATATCGGAGTTATCTGAAAATCTGTTTTATTAGTTAAAACATGAGGATTTCAATCTGTAGAGGTAACAATAAATTAACTTTTTTACATATAAATTTATGCAGACATATCACTATAGCAAACAAGTCATAATATACTAAAAAACAAATGAAAGAATTCTATTATAATAATAATAAAATTGTATTATAATTACATATTGCATACAAAGTTAAATATGATGACACGTTTAGTACATTTATGATAAAATATAGAATACACAAACACAGACATAAGTAGAATTAATAAATGACCAACAAAAGTGAATGTAGGTTATCAAAAATCGTTTCGTTTTATTTTCTTTTTTTTAAACACAAATATACACCATGAAGTTTCCTATTCGTTCATACCATAAATTTCCCATAAATCCAGTAATGAATGCTAATTCACGGTTAATTGACAGTTTGTCACGATATGTATAGTACTACCGCAATAAGTACTTCATACCGTCGTCCACAATATAACAAAAGTTAAGTACAAGTTCTCGTAACGGTTATCATAATAAGTGAAATGAAACGAAATAAATCACCCAGAAAAAGGAACAAAAGTATAATAATCCAAATCTCTTCTTCGATATTTCTGCCAACCTCCAAAGCTATAGGGAAGACTTCTGCATATGCGTAAACAAAGAATTCGTGCACCAAGTCATGAACCGTGTAAAACTAAACTGTACAGAGTACAACGGTCGTGTAAGAACGTCGGAAATAGAACTGGTTTACGTGTAGCTGTAAAATACATACGATTATCTGAAAATATCCCCGCGTCACTGGTGGCCTTTCCTTCTAGAAACCTCGAAATCGATTTTTAATCCTATTTTCGCAGCTCGTCGCCGTCTAGCGATTGTAGGCGATTATACTACTACGAATTGCAACCAATTTCAAAAATCTGTTTGGGATCTATGATACAACCCCAAAGAGACACTTTAACAAAGTGTTAATTAAATTTCCACACGCAAATGTGTGTTAGAGTCTTCGCAACCGCTTCTCGCGATTCATCTTATCACGCGTTGATGGCGCTGCACGCGAACTCACTGCGTAAACCAATTTAACAATTTCACGAATAAATGATTCTCGCGATCGTGACACGGGGAATCCGATAGCTTTTAAATTGAATTAAATCATATACGTCCACAAGAGGAAACGTTCTTATATAAAAATTGGATTAATTTTATTGCAACTGAAGTTTTTACTGCAGCATCGTTCACATAATCCAGTGTTTCTCAAACTTCGCTTTCCCGCGAATATCCTGGACAAAATGTTGTTGGTAAATGGAATTCTTATTTTTGTCTCACGACCCACGCGAACGGATAACACTGTAATCGCTAAAAGTTTCGAAAAAATACTTTTTGCAGAAAAAACACTTTTCGAGATCTGATGTCGTAAATCTGGGGATATAAATTCATTTCCCGCTACGCGAGGAAGCGACGACTGTCAGAGTGCTGCAAAAGAAAAGAGAACATGTTAATCGTCAATTGGCATATTCAAACAAAGGTACCCAATTAATGATAATACACAACTATTGTAGATAATAACTGATAATACCTGCACAAAAAATATACCGTATATCATTTATCAGCGATTCAAGGTTTCCCAACGAGCACTCTTTATCAGCAAACAATTGCAACCATTTTTATCCTGAACATTGTACAAATTTATATATGTTTGTATTTATTCTTGATCAGCTATAATTTATTAATTTAAATTACAGCGTACCTGCGATCTTTTTAATCGTATCGCGGATCGTAATTTGAGAAACACTGACATAACCAATGAGATTTTACGAAACTTGAAAGATGAAAATCTTGCTTGGTTTGATACTGTGTATTGAAGTTTTTTAAAAATATTAATTAAAAGTATTCATCGCTTTAAAATTTCATATTATTTAGTACTTCAAAAGTCTCTTAATTAACCAAACATAAGTAATTGTACGAATACGCGTTTCTTTTAATCGATAGATATTTACTACTAGAAGTAGAGGCGCATATAATCGATAATAATTTGCATTTAAAAATGATTAAATAATAATTTAATGATTAAGTTGCCATTCAAAAATAAAAAAGTACATATATGCCTTTGGAAAAACTAATATTTACTAAGAAAATACAGTTATTTGAATGAAATTTAAATATAGAATTTTACGAGCTATATTCAATTAAACATCATTTATTTATGTTTATTACTATTTACATGTATCGCTTAATTGGTATGCACGCACTTGCAATTTTTGAAGCGGTTCGATGCATACAGTGCAACCAACAAACTACCGCGAAACTTAGAACATATTTGTCATAAAATGTCTTGTATCGCTATTGAAATGTCAGTTCGAAGTTCTCGCTATTTAAAAACTATTTGTAGTCAACCGTTCTTTGATATTTTGTAATTAGTATTAACACAAAGGTAAATTGTACATTAATTGCATAACTATTATTACAATTTATAACTTACGGAACAATGACATAAATAGACTCTGTAAACATAAATTCATTTATGAATTATATCATCAATTATTAATATTGGTAAAGTCTGTAATGCATAACTGTTTAATTATTCGAAGAAACGATTCAAAAAATAATTATTATTTGTTATGACGTGATATTTAATAATTAGATGACAGTAATATAACCTTGAACGTGTAGTAAAACATTATATTTTCAATTTACTGCATTGGAATTAAAGTATCAGAATTATACGAAACACTTATTCTCTTAAAATCATTGTCATTGTCTCCTATTTTTGTTTGAATTATGTTGAAATCTTATTTATAAAATTGCTTATGAAAACAATGACTCATTTGGTCTTGCGTTTTATATAGTACACGTTTCCATACATATTTGTTGTTTAGAAATCTTACATTGATTCTGTATTAAGATAGAAAAATTATTAGGTTGTTGTTTCCTACAGACAGTTATTAAAAATGGCTGATGTAAGATTACTTATACAAGAAGAAGGTCGTGCAGCTAGAAATTTAATAGCTTTTAATGTACCAGTCGGGACAATTAACACTGAGAAAGTTACTAAAAAACCACCCAGCGTGCCGAGAGTATCGCAATCGAGCATAACTAAAAGAACTATGAAACCAACAACCAGAGTACGATCAGCTTCCACTGGTCGTGATAAAAAATCTGGTGAGTCAAAATTATAGGAGGAAGATACGTTCATATAATTTTAAATTAAATTTATATGAATAGGGCACTTAATATTTTCAGACAGATTAAATAAATTTTGACATATAACAAAGTTATGTTTTAAAATAAAATATGAATATACGTTTCTTAGTTTTGCTAGATTTTTAATGCGCAAGTGCTAGTCTGTAATTCTTTTCTTTATGTTAGAATTACAGGCGAGATATTGGGCTTTTTTATTTGGTAATTTGGAAAGAGCAGTTGATGGTATTTATCAAACCTGCGAAGAAGATGAAAATATTTCAGAATGCAAAGAAGTGATACTTGTATTAGAAAATTATACAAGGGATTTTCATAATTTGATCGAATGGTTTAAGGTCAAATGGGCATACGAAAGTTCATCACCGCCCTTGAGACGTACTCCGTTAGCTTGGGAAGTTAGGAAAACCTCCCCATGTCGTATCTGGAATTCAACAATGATTCCAAAATCAACTAGTCCTTTGCAAAGAATGAGTCCTACAGAATCTATTTGTAGAAGTCCGGTCGATCAAATTATTTCAGAAAATAAGCCTATTGTTACAGATAATAAAATAAATCATGTGAAAGGCGAGCCTGTTCACAAATTGATGAAAGATAATAAAAGTAACGTTACAAAAAATAATTCAATAAGTATAAGTGAAAAATGCAAAAACACAGTAGACAAGGGAACAAGTCAATCATCGATTAAAGACAAGTTAACTTCAATGAAAGCGAACAAAGCTTTTGTAAAACATACAGTATCTGGAAAAACAAGCAGTACCATTCTGACAGATCAGAAAACAAATGAAACTTCACTTCGCGATGTAAAAAGTAAACTGGATACTAAAAATGTTTCAAAACCAATTAAAAATGGATTGCATAATAGCACTGGTAAAATAGCAGATTCTAATGTAGTAATAGAGAAAAGTGAACAGACAGTCCCCAGTGACAAAAATATGCAATTAATTACATTTACACCAATGGAAAAAGAAGTTTCTAAAACCATTAGTATAGATAATAAATTAAATGCCCAAAATAATTTCCAAGTAAAGCCTTTGGGTCCTAGAAATGATTTAGGACTAGGAAAAAACGAAATTAATGCTAAAGTAAAAAAACAAAACACAGGAAAGAATATTAAAGTCATTGGTATAGAAAATGTATCGAATGAAACCAAATTATTAGAGTCCAATAGTGCAGCAAAAGAAAACAGCAGTACCATTTTAATAAATAAGAGTGTACAAAGTGTTGCAAAAATCTCGAACAAAGTAAATCAAAAATTAAAAACACAACCGAGCGCGACTGATGGCGCGAATAATAAAATTATGACAAAAACCGTATCTGATACATCGTCCAATAATGTAGGTAAAGGATTAGTTAATACAAATAAACCAGCATATTCGACAGTATCACAAATGAAGGTTACCAAAACAAAACAACCAAATAATCTCCCTGAAATCCCAAAATTTATTCGAAGTAAAACAACATTAAGTAATAGAAATGTGTCAACATCTAATAAAATAAGACCAGGAACGTCTGTAATAGTTAGGCAGCGATTTCAATCATTTGACAATAAGGTATTTTTTTTCATTTTTTATCTCATTAACATGTATGTCATTTTTAATTTATAAGTCATATAACGCTTATGTAATGTTTTGGTAAAAAGCAATATTTATGAATTTTGTTAGATGTCGGAGCAAAGTTCGTTAAAGAAAGATCAGAATAAAGATATAAACGGTTCTGTAGAAGTGTTGACAAAACAGTCGGTTGTTATAAAAGTGAAAGAAGAAAATGATGGTTGGCAGACAGTTCGTAGCCGTTGCAGACGAGGCAGTACACACAACTTAAATATGTCTACAAGATTTCATAAACCGAGCACCGCTACTTCGTTACCGGCACTGTCTATCGAATGTTCGTCAGAAAAAAATAAAAAGAAATGTTTGACCCCGGATGGAAACGGCAAACAGAAGAAAAAGTGTATTGTAGAAAAGGAAGGAAAAAATATATCTAACGAGGTAGAGAAGGTGAAAGGAGAATCAGTTACAAGTCTTACAATTAAAGATAAGGTAGAAGAAGTTTTCAAGAACACGATTAATTTGAATGAAATAAATTCTACGTCAATGATTGCAGCGATTTTTAAAAGTGACGCGGAGTTGCTTGAAAAACGTATACAACAGTTTATGGCTGCACAAGCAGAAAGGGAGAGAATCATTTTGGAAGAGGAAAGAAAGACCGAAGAGGCTGATTCTCAGCGATCGCAGCAATTGTCGGACGAAGAAGCATTTTTGCATAGACAAATTTTAGAATTAGAATGCACGGAAACTGATGTTGATACAGAGACTGATGAAACAGATGGTGAGATGGTCCTTGAGATAGAGGACGAGCAAGAAACATCTCCTACTACAGTGCCTGATGACATCAGTCTAGAAGATAGGTGTGCACCATATTCATTGCATTCATTTTTTATTTTGTTGTGCGCCGAATATAATGTAAATTTTTACAGATACGAGAACATGTTAGACGGTATGTCTTGCGCGGAATCCGTGGATACCCTTGACCAATTACACGCGTTAGTAGCTCGTCACCCTGGTAGAGCTTTGGAATTGCATCAAAAGCTCTCGTCACCGTCGCGGAAAAGATCGTTGCCCGAAACGTTACGGCGATATCAAACGAAACAAGCTTGCGCGCAGCATAAACGTCAAAAGCTCTTGATGGAGAAGTCGCAAAGATTACGAGAACTACTGAACAAAGTGAAGGATGTTAAAAGTGCAAAGAATCAGTTGATAGAAGATAAGCGAATCAGAATGGAAATGAAATTGAAAAGGGCGGAAGAAAATAGAACTCAGCATTTGTTGGAAATAGTAAGAAAAGCTCACGACGAAGATTCAAAATTGAAAGAAATTGCCTTCATTAATGAACTTGAGGCACAGAACAAGAGGCACGATTTTATGGCGTTGTGTCAAGAACAAGAAGAAAGATTACAAGTGCGTTGCATAACCTTATATTTTCAACAAAAATATAGATGTATCTGTGATATGTGTGTAAAGTAAAAAAAAAAAAATGATTTAATTTTTAGGGAATTCAGGAAGAACGTCAGCGTCGACAAGAAGAGAAGGCAGCTAAAGAAGCAGCAGCTGAAGAACGCAGACGTGCGTTAGAAGCGGAAAGGCAATTGCGTATTCTCAAAATGAAACAAGCTCGTCGCGAACGCGAAGAAAGAGTCGGGAAAATGCAGTTAGAAAGAGAAAAGGAACGTCAGGTAATTATTTTTAATCAAAATCGTTTAGTGAAGTGTTTATATATGTATAATAATAATTTGATGGTGATAAATGTTGAAATCGTAGGAACTCGCGCGAGAAAAAGCGAGAGATCGAGAGGAACGTTTATCGGCACTTCATGCAGCTCAGTTAGCAAATCAAGAAGAATTGCAGAAGAAAATAGCTCAAAAGCAGCAAGAATCGGCTAGGAGGCACGTTGAGAATATTGAACATATTCGTCAGAGGGCAGTTGAATCTTCGATTCTAAGGTCAGAAGAAGTCCCGCCTATCCTGAAATCGTACCCTGCTCAAAAACAATGCTCTTTATGCGCAACAGTTGTAAGTTTTCATCCATTAAATTTAACTATGTTTGATATCGTAGTTTGTTTATTATTATTTAAATTTAATGGTTTCTATGGTTTCTATGCCGTTTACAGATACCCAATGAAGTCTATCTATTAAGTCACTTAAAAGGGAAGACGCATCTCGAAGCGGTGCGTAGTACGCATGATGGTCGAGAACCATCTCGAGATGAGTTGCAACGCTTCAATATATCGCAGATTCGCGATTTGCCGGTTTCGGTAATCGATTGTAACAACATGAATGAGATGAAAGCTGCAAAAGAGAAGCAGAAGGCTTTGAAACGCCGATGTAGAAAAATGAAGCAACGAATGATTTTACGCGGCAAGGAATGGGAAGATGATCACAAGGTAGATGTAAACCAGTCCACCGAGTCGACTAACAAAGCAAAGTTTCGTCGAAATTTGAAAGAACTGGATCGATTGTATTACAATCATTCGAAGACTGCGTGGTCAAGCGTCGCCATTGCTGCTTTGGAGCGCTACCTGGGTGAAATAATAAGAGCTTTTTCAAAATCGGTAAGTTACTAACCTTATTAGTTCGCGAATATTTCTCGTTCAAGTAATAATTTTTTTTTTATAAATAAGAAGTACTTGCGAATTTTTAAACGGAATAATATATTACAATGTTTAAAAAATAGTGTAACAGTGAAGTATCAATGTGTATGTTTTTCTGTCGTTTTGACATTCAAAATCAATCGCGACAACATTTTTATGCTTTTCTAGTCACATTAAGTGATCAATTTTGAAAAAATAAAATTAATTGTTTGTGAATAATGAACGAATTACACGTTTAGTAATCGTTTATTTTTGTTATAATATTTCAGTGTCCATTAGATCAAAATGCATTTCGGCTTTTGAATGGATTTGATGTTTTAACAAATCTACTAAATCTGGGTCTGCAAATGCAAAATGCATCTCACAATCTTCCAAACAAGTAAGTTTAAAATAGTATGTTTTTGTTACTTCGTATTTTTTTTTTTTAATGTACTAAACAATAGCTAAATACGATAATTCATATTTTATTTTTATTTTGACTTTGGACCAAAGTTGTAATTTCATTTTTTGAGTTAAGAAAAGAGTCATTTTACCGTAATTTCGTTACTTGTCAAATATTAGGTTATGAAATTTACGAATATTCGAATAGAGATGAGTTTAACAAGTGGTCTTAACTCTAATCGATTGTAATTATTTTTACGCAATTAAAAGCTATTTAATATCTTACGTCTTATTGTTACGATTTAAATCGGATTTCTTTCGTGTGTTCAGAAGCATCGTTTCAGTGTGCCGCGTGTATAAGTTCAGTGTCAGCGGGAATGACACAAATATCGAAGCAGTTTTATCGAGCAACAAAATTCTGGTCATCTTGGATCTTCTCCTTCAACACTTGGAGGTAAGTCAAGCATTATATTGATACAATTATTACTTGCTCTACATGAGGTAAGATTTTGTAATTATAATATGTAGGAACCTATTAATGTGTGCTAATATAAGCTATGTTGTTCCTTTTCTGGGTTTATTTTTTATTTATCGCTATACAAAGAAGTGATATACTAGTTGGTACGAACTATTTCACGTAATGTGATGCAGAGATAATACGTTACTTTAGAATACTGAATAATATGAAATAAAAAAGTTACCCGAACGTGATGCATACAAGTAGCGTAACAGGGAAGTGTACATGTGTTAGACCATAAAAACTGTGGCGTTTCACGTTAGATCCGCTAGAGGTCTCATCAGTGAAGTTTTTTAGCAGTTGCTACATGTGCCTCATATGAAGGCTGACTGCTGTATGAAACAGATCAAATTCATATTATCATGCAAACTCGATAACTTCGAGCACAACCCTTGTTTTAATTAATATAAAAATAGTAATTCAAATAGTTTTAATGAAAGGGTAATAAGGGAGTTTCATCGAATTGCTGTTTCACAACCTAACCTTATGGTTAGTTGCAACAATTTTAGGCGATAGATATGTTTTCGAATTCCCTGGTTCGCGTACGTGTAAATATTAAACTTCTGACCAGTTAATAGCAGAAACATTTTAAGAGGTGTCGGCGCCTCTTTCCATCTGTTTATATCCTACTTTTTTACGCTACCACTTACTTCGTTCTGGAAAGTGGGTTATTCGTATATCATCTTACGACCTTAATCTCTCTTCGCGGAGAAGCGATTCTTTCGTTAAAAATTGTTTATACCGATCGAAAATACTTTAATTTTTTTTTATCAATTTAAATAGTTTCATATTTTTTAATTGGATTCATTTATACCAGTGCTTTCTTTGGGGGGATGTGTACCCTCGGAGGAAGGGCACATTTCCACGAGCAGGGGGGAGGGAGCACGGAAAAAGATTTATCACGTAAAAAAACGTGGATAATTTAAAAACAAATTACAAAATAAACATGAAATAAATGATGAAATTCGTATAAGAAAAGTTTGTCGACGCACAAATTTGTAAACCGAGAATTCACGCAGAAGCGATAAGCGAGCGGTTTCTCCTTCGCTCTGGTCTGTTTTGGAGCTCATTTCGAGGTTGGTAAATAAACGAAGGCAAAGGCCGTCGTGCCTGTCCTGTCCGACTTGTCAAAATAAGGATTAAGAGTCTTAGGGGCTGGCTTTAGCTTGCATCTTCTGCTTCGGAGCCGGATCCGTTCGAGTATTTAACTCATTCTCCGAACACGAGCCGGTAAGCTGGATGTTGGAATCTATCGAAGAATTTCGGTTGCAAATACTACCGATTCCTCGATAGTTTTCACTTTTCGTGAAATGAACATTCAAACTCAATCTCTTTGAAAATTCTCGATTACAAAGGATTATAAAATTAAATATTTTCGAAATAATGGCGTCCATTACTACGATTATGAATGGCCCAAAAGTTGAAATAATTCTTGTAGAAACTTAATCGTTTTGAAAAATCGACACTCTTCTTCAAAAAGTATCACAAACTATATAATAATATAAATACTTTATTCGTTATTATTATTTAACGTTTTTTTAAATAATATTCAGAGTCAACTTCAGGTTTAAATAACTGGTAGAGAAGTGTCTTACAGTAAGCTTTCCTTAAAAATTGAGATTAACGGGACACACGAGTGTTTGTTTTTTTCCTGTGTAGTTTTTTTTTTTTTTTGCCGCTGTAGGAGCGTAGATGTCACGATTCTGAAATCTTTGACGGTTATCGATTCTTCTGGTTGTTTGAGAAAATGTGTATACCGTGGCTCTGATGGATAAGTGATGTGCAAAAGGGGAGGACGTGGTTGAAAGTAGAGAAGCGAAGTTGAAATGCACGTGTTCCCACTGACGCGCAAACCCTACATTTTTAAACTATTTCCTAACGTATTTATAAGAGCATGATTGTACACACGCTGCTCGTCAAAACGAATTTTATGGAATTTACGTCATTCACGTATATCCTGATGGGTCGTAGATTGTGATCTATTTTTCTTTTTGATCATTACTAACTCTTTTCTTCGCTATTTACGTGTATCATCTTTTTCTTCTTCGTGGATGTTATCTTCTCTGCTATATTTTTACTTCTTTTCATGAACACCATTTACATTAATTTTAAAAATTTATTTTCTCCACTAACATCATCCATGGTGCAATTTTCTTCTTTTTTTATTCACATTGCCTTCTGTACTCAGCTCTTCTTTCACATCGTCTTCTTTATTATCGTACTTTACAGTTTTCTTCTTCTTAAATACTCTCTTCTTTTCATCATCTTTTATAAATTTCTTCTTTCCTTCATTTCATCCTTCGTGTAATCTTCTTCTTTCTTTATTCACATTGCCTTCTGCACTCAGTTCTTCTTTCACATCGTCTTCTTTATTATCATACTTTCGAGTTTTCTACTTCTTAAATACTATCTTCTGTATCACGTTTCACTTCTCTTCTTTTTATCATCTTTTATATATTTCTTCTTTCCTTCATTTCATCCTTCGTGTAATCTTCTTCTTTCTTTATTCACATTGCCTTTTGCACTCAGTTCTTCTTTCACATCGTCTTCTTTATTATCATACTTTCGAGTTTTCTACTTCTTAAATACTATCTTCTGTATCACGTTTCACTTCTCTTCTTTTCATCATCTTTTATATATTTCTTCTTTCCACGTTACTTCTTCTTTCTTTCTTCTTTCCATCATCTTTTATATACTTCTTCTTTCCACGTTACTAGCATCGTTCTGACTAGTTCCAGTCTAATGTTAACAACTTCGTGTTTAATTAAGAACTTCGTGTTTCTTTTCCATATTATTTCTTCGTTTTTCCAACTTCCAGCTTCGTTTTCCTTTCCTTCGAGACCACGATTTTTTCTCTTCGTGAATCTCCGGTTCCTCGCCGGGCAATAATTCTCGAACGAAAGGTGTCACTGTGCAAACGCGCCAGAACGATCGTCGCCACGTTCGAAGTCAATCGTTTCGCTCGATGATACGTCGTAATCGGTCGACGAATTCACCGGCGTGATTTCAGGATCGATTTTTCACGCTTCGTGGATACGGCACTGGCACGTTCCTTCTCCTGTTCCTCCCCCGGGAATCCCCCTCCACAAATGCATTAGCGGCGAGAGAGCTTTTAGTGACGTCACCCACGCGCGCACGCGCGCACACATACATACACACACACACACACGTGGACGAGAATCGGGTTATACGGTGAAAGGAGCGTGTGTTCCATGCAGAATGTGCGTGGGTACTTCTGTCGCCGTTTCCATCAAGCTCTGTTTCGAGGACCCGGCCTAATCTTTTGTCTCGTCCTCCTATCGGCGCTTTCTCAACGACCTCTTCGCAGGTTCCTGAATTCGGCTGTTTCTCATATTTTATGGGTCTACGAAATTCCTTCATCCCGGAGGCCTTCGCGACTGCCAAAAATTATTTTTCAACGCGGAATAAACGATAAATCGCCATAAATTGACGCGCGATCGTTTCCAGGAAACGGGAACCGCCAAAAATAATGTATCTCCGGTGCTCGAGCAAGTTAATCACCTTGAAATCGTAGGTACAGCACGGGACAACAAACTTGCCTGGAACTTACGCGTTCATAACCTCAAGAAGGAATTTGCTAAACAAATACAACAGAGTTTCGACCCAAGTGTGAATTTAATTAATATAATTTTACAGCAGTTTACTGTTCTTAGCTGAGACGCTCAGGGGGTGCAATAAACGAGTGTCCTCCTCAGGTAGTACTGTCCTTTGCAAGGGCGGGGACTCCACCAATGGATACAAATTTCCATTAAAAATGCATGCATGCAATGCTTATTCTCAACAGTCTACAACGATTAAACGTATTAAAGGCAATAGCAAACCGAAGAGGAAACAACCAACTATTAATGAGCCAAAATTGATTTAATTGATACTAAAGAAATTAGAAGCAAACGAACCATCAATGTAGAAGAAAACTATTAATCAAGCAATTAAAATCGCCACTAGTCCTGCCAACACACCTAAACATCTTCGTCGCATCTTCCAGGATCGATACGAAATGTTCACTCTTTTTATTAAACAGTCCAGGATGGATTAGAATTTGGACCATTGCACAAAGAAATCGATTGTCCTGTAGGGTCCGCGAATGCTTTTCAATCTCGTCCGTCGGCTAAACAAATTTACAGTTTCCCGTAAATCGTTCGAGATCGCTGACCCACCCTCGCCATTTTATCCCTTTTATTCCGTTTTTCGACTGCGCGATCGTACGTTTCCTTGGACGTTATAGAGAAACTCGATGACTCGGGACTGGATTGATTGCTCGTAAAAAAAAAAAAAGGGAAAAATTCTCCCTAAATTCTGTTAATCCAGGCGGCTCGAAATCCAAAGGGTCCGCACGAGCAAAGTAGATTTGCTCGTTGCAACGCGGTGCCCGAAAATTGTAGAGTCAACTATTTATGGAAGTTAAAATGTAAACGTGAACAATCTGAGAACATTCTAGATAGTTTTTACGTGTATGGTAATATATAAATGGAATTCAGTGACTCTATTTGCTCCTCGTTGAATTGTATTTAGCAACTGTCTAGGTTTGTTCTTGGTAAAAGTTTTCTAAGGGGGACTTAAATCGAGCAACAAAAATTTGTAAGGGGTTCGTAAGACTACGTCGGGAGGCGATTTCTGTCCTAAAACCGAGCCGAATACGGAGAAACGCGAGCTGTTTGTTAAGTGTTCCTCGAAGGACCTATCGAAGCTGGGACGTTTAGGGGCCATATTCTCCAGGATTCTTATCGGAACCTTCCGACTCGTTACCTCTAATTTAGCATTTTAAATGTCGCCTATATACACCGTTGATCGTCCAGTCCAGCAAACTGGAATCAATGACTCAACGTGCCAGGAATTCGTCTTCTACAGCATCCGCGGTGATCTCCGGGCTTGGAAACATGGCGACCACCCGACTAGTAGCCGCTCGTCTTAGTGGGCATTACAATTTCGAGAGTATCAGCCTCGCGATGGCGCCGAAGAGCCTTTTAGAAAAGCGATATCGGTTTTCGAAATGATTGGGCAGGCTACTCAGCTCGAAAAGGATGGTCTTTAGCTAACGATTCCACAGGGACTTTTTTAATTGCTTCTCAGTAGGACAATTACAGTGATCAATAGTAACTTAAGGAATTATATTCTTATACTTGTACCTTCATAGAAAACTTTCATGTAAAATATGTAAATATTCAACATTATATGTACCTACATACACTGTATATGTCATTGTACAAATTCTGTACCAGTCATTTAAACTTGAAGTAGATTCTGAACGTTATTAAAAAAAACGTTAAATAATAATAACAAATAAAGTATTTATATTATTATATAGTTTGTGATATTTTCTGTAGAAGATTGTGGACTTTTTGAAATGATTAACTTTCTACAAGAATTATTTCAACTTTTGGGCCTATATATAATAATACATACAGGGTGTTCGGCCACCCCTGGGAAAATATTAATGGGGGATTCTAGAGACCAAACTAAGACGAAAATCAAGAATACCAATTTGTTGATTGAGGTTTCGTTAAAAAGTTATTAACAAAATAATTGTTAAAAATTATTAATAAAATTTGTCCACCTATATGAATTTTTTTCTCGAAAGTGTGTGGGATTTCGGAGATATGTCTATTCACCAAAAATGATTGTAATTGACCCCCGCAACTGAAAATAATTTTTCCAGAACGATTTGAAATTTTTTATTTTCGCCGAAAAATTTAGGCAACCTCCCCCTGTCGATATTTCTTAAAAATTAGTTTTTCATTTTTAACAAATTTATTTGATGCTTTACAGAAAAGTTGTTTAATACTTTTTTGTAGATATCCATGAGCTCTACTTCACAAATAAATTTCATTGAAATCCATCGACTATTATAGGAGTTATGGCGGTTTGAAAATTCGACCACTTTTATGGGGTTTTTCTCGCTTTACGAATTCAAGGAACAACCTTTCCAATATTTTTAGAATTTCTACATATTCTTCACTAAAATACGCGTCGTTTGCATTTTGAAACATTAAAATCGTCCAATTCGTTCAGAAGTTATGGTGTTTTAAACATATGCACGAGATTTCAGGTCAACATTTCTGGCCACACATTATATTTACGGTAATGAATTTTTTTCTCGAAAATGCGCAGGATTTCGGGGTTATGTCTATTGACCAAAAATGATTGTAATTACCCGCCGCAATCAAAAATAATTTTTCCAAAATGATTTGAAATTTTTTTTTCCGTCGAAAAATTTCACCCCTTCTGGAATTTTTTTCTAGAAGATGGGTAGAATTTCAGGGGTATGTCTATTCACCAAAAATGATTGTAATTGACCCCTGTAACTGAAAATAATTTTTCCAAAACGATTTGAAATTTTTTTTTTCGTCGAAAAATTTAGGCACCTAATTAGCAAAGAATTTTTTTCTTGAAAGTACGTAGGATTTTGGGGTTATGTGTAATGACCAAAAATGATTGTAATTGACCCCCGCAACCGGAAACAATTTTTTTAGAACGATTTGAAATTTTTTAATTTAATTGTTAATAACTTTTTAACGAAGCCTCCATCAACAAATTGGTATTCTTGATTTTCGTCTTATTTTGGCCTCTAGAATCCCTCATTAAAATTTTTCCCAGGGGGTGGCATGCACGACACAATTATATGAAAAGCATAATTTCATGAAATATGTAATACAAGCGTAATTTAAACAATTATATAATGCCAGAATACCACCTCATTCGCCTTGATGTCTGTTCTATAACTAATATTTTCATGAATATATAATATAAAGTACAACAAAATATCAGCTGGATTTTGAAATAATGGCGAATTACTTTTTTGTTTATAGAGTCTGGCGAAACTTGACGACCAACTCCAGGTACAGGAAGCGTCCAGTAACACGACCGGAAGCGGAATCGTCGCTAACAGCGTGTTGCAATTGCTCTGCAGTTTGATCCCCGAGGAACCGTTTGAGAAATCGGCATTGCAGACACGGGTCCAAGATATCGTCGGGTGAGTATCTAAAGTGCTCGATGCATCTTGATGTTCACGTGTTATGACACTTTAAAAATTCAATGTCTACATTTAGTGTCGATCGTACTTTATGCGTCGATGCTGTTCCTTTTCTCCGAGTGGCGTGCTATTTAAAGTAGCGCCGCGTATTAAGGGAGAGACATCATAAATGCATTTTCCTAAATTAGAAACGAGGATATATGTCGATGCAAGAAAAGCAGCAACGTTCATTTATGAGTATTAATAAAAGTTAGAAGTGGATCCATTTTCTAGGCGTAGATCTTGTATTCGTAGGCCTTCGGACAATAATAAAACAGCCTGAACACCGTGGTGTCGCACCCTGTGTATTACTATCATCATCGTCGTAAAAACATAATTGCAAAAATTGCATTTTTTTTTCAACATTCGTATATTGTACACGTAAAGTACATTGTTCTATTTCGGAGAATTTTTATAGAATTCTTTTATACGTTCAAACCAGGAACATCCCAGTGTACTATTCCATGGGTAGAATTTAATTTCAAAACGCGTGAATTAATAATTTGGCCATCCAGGGAATTATCTATGAAAATTAAACTTGCGGTAGTTCTGGGAAGAACTATGAAAAATTTAAATATTCTCCCCCTTTTAAATGGGTCGACAGTTTTTGGGAAGGTCGAAGAAAGCAAAAGCATATTTTTATTAAATCCATAATGTAGCAACTATAATCTTTAGAAACAAAAAAGTTGACAGTTTATTTTTTTAAATTACACAGGGAGTATACTAACCTAAGCCAATGAAATTGGAAGTTATATTTTAATATTTAGATTGACAGAATTATTTTAAGAATTGTTTAATTCGTCGCATAGATCGCTTCCGTTTGTTTGTTGCTCGAAAGACACCGGGACCCGGTTTCTTTGAGAACGAACAACGAGAAAAAGAAAATCTTTAACACTTTGACGCGCACGGACCACCCCCGTAGGAAAACATGACGACTCTGTCGTGCGAGCAGAACTTAATACGCGAGTCACGGAAAAGTGACAAGTTGCAAGCTGTTTTCGTTGGATCCACGGCGATATCCGACCTTCGCCAGGAAGACACGGCGCACCTGGGTCAACTTCCTCCTCCGGGACCTCCCAAATTGTCGGTTAATCCTTTCCTATTCGCACCGAATCATTTTCTCCGTTTCGTTCCGGTCGTCTGAACATTTTCGTTTCACACAAACTAGAAGAGAACTGTCGGGTTGAGGTAATGAAGCTGAATGATTTAAACGCACAAAGTTAATTTATTTATTAAACTTGGAAAAAACATAACGAAACATGTAATTGCACAATAAACGATACGTACTACGAAGCACGAGAACTCTCTGTTTTGATCCAAAAGCTGGAAGTCGCGATTGAAATTCCAACAAGAACAGTCAAATTTGTAGTGAATATTAAAATGTACCGGATGAAAATTTAACTTAATAAATTCTTGGTTCACAGTACTTGTTTTAAATTTGTATTAGTACTGGTGTATTAATCGCTGAGAACCGGCCATTTTGATGAAAAGTAACGTCTCGAAGTTGTTTTGGGTTTATTAAAATTGAAATAGAAGTAAAAGATTGCCCCAGGCGTATCGAAGTCGTAAAAAGAAGGAAAAGTTCGTACAAGAATAGAATGATTCAAAGAAATTTAAACATAGATCTAAGACTTCGCGTCCCGGTTTAAGAATAGTCGCAGTACCGGGCATCGAAGTCTCCGATATATAGATTTAATCAGACATTTTCTTGGCGCGCGGATAAACAATAAAAACGAAACAAAAATAATATGCCAATAATGAGAGAATGAAACTGTTTTTGCGTTTAAAATTTCAATAGATTGTCGACTCGAAGAATAAGTATTGTACGAACGTTTTGAAGTTGTCAGATTGAGTTTATTAAAATTTTAAAAAGGGGGAGAAGTTCTTAGAAAAATGTGCAAATTTTAAGTTTGAACGTAGATCTAATTATTCGATGAAAATTATTTATCTGGGTCTTTATATGCTTCTCAATAAGACCCCGATCGATCGGTTGTTTGTTTATCGTGATTTAATTCACAGTAAACCGACGCTAGTACTTTATCGCCCCGGCGAATCTGGAAAATTTCGAGTTTACTGACTGTAACGTCCAACTTTGAATAATGAACGACGAAGGCGCGATCAGAATGATTGCTGGTCGGCCGCCGGTAGTCGAATTATTATGATTAATTTCCTGCCGATGCGAGAATGGCCTAGTCACGATTTTTACTCACCGTCGAGATTGCTTTTCGCTCGTACCTTTAAAGTGCGCAGATGTCTAAGGACGATCGATCATTTTGCACCACGTAATACGCATTTGAGAATCGTTAAGTGCATTCACCGACCCTCCCTTTCGAAAAAAATGTACGCGATACGCTTTCGCGCGTCCCGATCGAAATTCTGTAAAAATTAGAAATTAATTTTGTTTTTATTTCCACCCTTCGTTCGTTCGAACGAACAGTGAAACAACAGAGATAAATAGACGATGCAAAACGCTTATCTCCTGGCCTCGCAATCTATGATTAAAGAGTCATATGCACGGTGGTATCTCTCTCAGGAATTATTTTCTTGTTCCCCATCGAGGTAAATGGCCCTTTTGTCGTAAACCGCTGCCACAAAGCGAGAAGCATCGCGTAACGCGCGCCGTCGTTTCCCTTTTTGTTGGTTCCTTTTACCGCATACGCGAACCGCAATGTACTCGGAGCTGCTTCGAATTTTAAATAATTTGTTATTGCGCAAAAGGAGCACGCCTTCTTTTGAGTCGTTCGGACGAAGTTTTATTCGGTGTGGCTTTATACTGATGATACATGGTAGATTTAGATGCATTGAAGTGCAGGGCAAAGTATACTGGGGAGCCAGAGAGTTTGCCCTTGGATGAAATTCAGGTTTAGCGATCAAATCTTTTAGAAAAGTTTACTAATGATTCATTTTTATTCATTTGCTCGTCGCTTGTTGGACCTCAAAATAGCCTTACAGATAAGTTTTCCAACAGATCTAGGACCAAACGTTATAATTTACGTCGCTTTTGAAACGTGCAAATTCCCCGCGCAAAAAGAAATCGAAAAGTCCTCCGCCATTTTGCAATCGGAGGCTTCGTTTTCAAGATATAAGCGTTTAAATTTTTGTTGCGCGAGGACGTCATAGATTTGAGTTTTCTCCGCTCGATGGCGCGCGATCAGCTGATTGAAATAAAAATGGCGCGCGTCAAGAGTTGCGTTAGTGAACTTTAACTGCTTGTATTTCGATAACGAAGTCTGGGATTGTAAAATGGTAAATGACTTTTCGATTCCTTTTTGTGCAAGGAATTTTACTTAAATATAATTTTTGTAATAGTTCAATTTAAAAGGCAAACAAGCGTGCACGATCTTTTTTAACAAATCCTTTGAAGTTCCTAAAAAATCGTGTTTAATATGTATTTTACGTGGTATAATTTCTGTTCCTGACTACGTTGGTAACAATCAATGACTCATTCTTTGTACCTAACGCAACGGAGAACTCTCGAGGGCGATGATAATCGGAGCTCAAGTGGCAATCGACGAGGTAATTGCTAGAACGCTTCTAGAAAAATCAGTCGACAAACACTCTTATTATTAATCCCGATGAGTTGATCGAACGAACGTTCTCCGAGCTCATTCCCTTTCGCTTTCTGAGATGTTGATACTGTGTTAATCGAAGTAGGATCAACCCATGCAATTGGTAATTTACTTTTGGTACGCGTGCGAGCGTTCCTCAGATTCCCCCTGCTCGCGAAATTAATAAGGTACCCGTCGAATTAAGACACTGAAACGTTCCATCGAATCCTATTATTTCTGAAGCTTCTTCTCGCGTTGAAGTTTCTCCATTTTGTATTCAGCGGTTCGACGATAAAAAAAACATTTCATTTTACACGTATATTTATCTATAAAGACTACTAATATCATTACCTTCTTCATTGTTTCTATTATTATATATTCAGCGTAAAAAATATATATTTGTATCTGGCTGCAATTTTGGAAATATACTTTTACTTCGATCGTTACGCGTTCTGTCACGGTTAGAATTTAATTTCATTAAAATTAAGAGGCACCGCGATCGATACATCGTAGGAAGTGGAATCGTGTCAATTTGTAAAATCGTTACCCCGGTTATACTAACCGATTTCTCCCCCGGTGTAAATCACAGTTTACTTTGGTTAATTGGATCGGTCGTAGAAGGAACACGGAGCGTTTTCAGTTTTTGTTTCTCTTTGTAATAGAATTAGCTGAGCTTTTCGATCAGCTTGTCGGCATTTGCGACTACGAATGCCTCAAATTAAATATAAACACAACGTTTGGAGTAAATATTTTGCCCTGTCGCGACGTTGCTCGTATTATACAGTTCTTAATTGTCGCTGCTATTTTATATCAACAGCAAACAGTGTCAGTGACGCTTGTAACGTCTGCAAAACTTACATAATACAGTACAATCGATAATTCGATTAAATGGCCGCGAAAGTGTGAAATATTTTTTTTATTCTCCGTTTATTTACGAAGTTTCCGGTTAAAATCCGCGCGTAACGTTTCGCGTGGTCCCCTCGTAAGTCGACGGATTAAAATCGGATTTCTTCTACGATAAGTAGCTTAGGAAAGCACACGATTCAAACGACGTTACGAAAATATTAGCAATGAGATCCACTTTATCGCGAAAATGAAAAAGTTGCGCTTTAGCGCGACGCGATTAATCCCGCGAGTTGCGCGAAACAAAGTTACGCGAGAGACGACGACGGTCGTTCCTTCTTCTTCCGGAGGGGCGGGGCAAATCTATTTTATTAATATAACGGCGCTGCTGTTTGATCTGATAATTGCGTTTGACTGTTCTAAAGAGCATCTCCGCTTTTTCCCGTGCTTGCCACGGCAAAGGCCCTTCTGCGGGCCATTTTCCCTCGAGCAGTTTCAAAGCGCCGGCTCCTCTCAGTTTTCTTTGACGATTATTGATTTAATGAAAATATAGACGCACAATGGCTACCA